CAGCCTTGCCACTTACTTTGTTCCCGGCTCCCTGCCTGGCTGCACGGCTTCTGCGGCTGCTGCCTCACGCTGCTGCTGCTGCTGCAATTTCCGTTTCTCCCAGGCTCCCATTTCCTGTTCTTTCGGCACACGTCAGTAGGTGGGTTCTGGCTGCACAAACCCAGCTGCTGGGGCAGCTCGTGTCCCGAGCAGCGCTACGCGAGTCCCGACATCGGCTTAGCCCCAGCAGCTTCCCAGCTCCCTTTGTCTACACGAGAATCGCTGGGCTCGGAGCTGCTCCCCTAGAGCACACGGCGACGCCGACCATCTCCGCTGCTGCCCACGTCTCGCTCCCTGCCTGCCTCCCTCCTTTCCAGAGGCTGCCCATGAATCATGCACGCCGAGTCGCGCGCTAGTGCTGTGCCTGCCTTCTGCTGCCCCGTGGAGTTATTTCCACATCTGTATTGCTTAGTGCACCAAGTCAGGCTGGTCAAACTGGGATAACCCGAATGAGGCACATGCAAGTACTAGTCTCGAAGGATTGCAAATTCCTGGGGATTGGGGGTGTTTTCCTATAGCGTGGGGATAGGACCTACAGAAAACACTAAAATCGAGACACTTTTTAAACGGCTATACAATTACAATAACCAAAAAGGGTGCGCTTCTTGCCAAAGGATAAAATATAATGGGGTACAGAGTATTGTCTCTTCCTCACTGCAACAATATTGGTTAGTGTGAATTTAACCATACAAGTGAAAAAACGTTACCTTTGAAGTAAGGCTGTTATTCATATTATAAGGAGCCTTAAATAGGGATAATTTTAAATATTTCATTGAAACAATTCCAGTTTTAAAAATTACTTTATACAGGCCCCTACTGGAAAATTGAGTGTTTTTTTTCTTCTTCTTTCCTGAAGAAAAGGTGGTTTATTTTTTGGAGGGGAAGGGAGATGAAGTGTTTCAGTAATTTCAAATGTCACATCATCATGACTTTCCTGATTTTTTGGAAGGACTTGCTGGAGAGCCCTATAGGATGTTTTCCTCTTGATTAAAGATTCAGCAACCACTTCAATTAAAATCCTCCTCCTTTCCTCTCTCCTGTAGGGTTGCCAGATGGTTTCAACAAAAATACCGGACACACTTGACATTACATCACAATCTACATTACATCTTATTTAGAAAATACTGGACATTTATATTTTCTCAATTTGTTTCTCAAACAGAAAGCTCAAAAACTGGACTGCCAGCTTCAAAACCGGACAACTGGCAACCCTACTCTCACATCCCCTACAGGACAATGGGACTTTTGAATTAAACAAATGCTATTGGTTTAAAAAAGTCTGAGTAAAAATGTTCCCCTTAATTAATAAATGTATTTCTCCTCATATGTTGATGTAGTCCTACTAGTCCTCTAGTTGTCCATAGCCTCAGAAAAAACAGGAGGCAGACAGAAACTGATTTTCTAATGTAAAACTCATTGCTCCTGCCAAATAAATGAGGAAAAACTGAGAAGTCCATTTTTCCAAACCAGCTTGATTTGCATGTCTGGGTGTCACATGAATCTAAACAAACCAGCTTGATTTGCATGTCTGGGTGCCACATGAATCTAAACAATATAATATTTGAAAATTAATTTCAACTGCATAGGTGGTAAACAGGAATTATTTGAAGTGCTTTCCATGGACTTTTGAATATTTTCAGGTTATATTCTCTCATTACAGTAAAACAGTATTTCATTTCACACAAAGGTACAATACCCAGCATCTTTTTACACCATTACAGTTAATAGGCTAGCTCTGGGCTGTACTTTCCACAGGGAAAGAAATTGGTAGGTTCATCCAAATGTATTTTGTCATATAAATTAATCAGGTGTTTTAAACACATCTCTGGTCACACAACTTTCAGACTTATAAATTTCTACAGCTTACAGCATGGATGAAGAACTTAAGGCCTGGAGCCCTCAGCTTTTGTCTGAATCCATCCCCTGAGGCTCACCCGCCCCAGGCATTGGAAAGCTAATGCTGGTGCTTCATCACGAGGCTGGAGCACACAAAATCTACTAGGCTGGGCCCTCTAGGACCTGCTGTGCAAGGGGAATGTGGGGAGTATCTTTTTCCTTCTCAGGTGGGTGCAAAATCAGTGATGGGTTTTTGTATGGTCCCCAACTGATTTTTCTGTCAGTGCCCTGCCCCTCCCCCACCCCAAAAAGGTTCCCCACCCCTGGCCTACAGGCACAGCAGTGGTAATATATGTCATCTTTTCAGTCAAAAGGGTCTTTATTTCTAAACTATATTGGAAGGTCAGAAGGGAAAGGAGACTGAATTGGATAAATTGTTTTCTGTATGATTAATTCCTGCTTTTACCCCTTTAAAGTTTTCCCAGTTGACGGCTGTTATTTTTTTTAAGGCAGCTAAGGAAGTGCTCACTTCTCACTTTTACTACAGCTATCATGGGCCAAACATCTGGAATACATTTGGCACCTTGCATAATGACATACACAAAACGTTTGTATATATAATCTACTTAAAATTCAGGCTCAGATTTATCTACTTTAACATTCCAATAAGTGTTCCCACATAAAATTAAGAACAGCTTGTTGCTATGTTGTTTTTTTCTGCTAGTGGAGACAGAAGATCAAACTTTTAATTATATTAAATTTGTTAAAAAGTTAATAAAAAATCAGTAGGATTACTACTTTTCTGTTTGGCCTTCTACACAATCTCTCCAACAATCCACAAATGTTCCCCATTTTACATAAATTAGCATTTGTCCTTTTGAATATTCTATGCATGAATGTTCCCAACACATTGTATGGGATACTATTCCTCAGTATGTCCCCACTTTCAAACTGCTTTAATATACGCTTTTAATTATGGACAGCTTCCCTCGGTTCAGTACTGTAAAAATCTTTACCACCACAAGAGTTTCTGCAAAAAAAGAGAGGGAGTTTTTTTGTTTTGTTTTTTTTAAGTTTCATCTCTTGCTAGTGAGAACATTATTTTCTAGAATTCGAAGTGTATCCAGCCTGAACTACAAAATGATTGAATGGAAGCTCATTTATGCAAGAAAAGACAAGCTGAAGAGTGTTATGTGATTGCATTTTAAAGAACCACTCACAAGATTTCACCATCCCCTCATCACATTTAAAATGGTTCTGCTGACTTGGAGGACAAGTTGAAACATCTCAATTCAAAGTACACTCAGGCTGCACTGGTGTGAAAATCACTTTAAACTGGTATAAGTTCCAGTGTAGTTTTCTGACAGTGACGTAGCTTGTGCTTATCCCATTGTAATATATTTTCCACTAAACATTCAACATTCAGATTATGAGAATAATATGCTAATACAGGCAGTCTATTCTTGTAGCTTTCTAATTAACAGAAATCTTTGAAGTCAAACTAACGTAAAGAACATTAGATTTTTTTCCATTTTCTTCTATGCAAAATAAGAAACTCTTATTTACTTTGGGACTGGAAATACTTAAACATTACTTTCCAGAGAACAGTTTAACTAATAAAGTCACTATTAGACAAATCTGATTAATATAATGGAGCAGTTGGGGGCTGGTGCCAAAGGCTTTGACCTCCATCACAAATTTAAATTGAAGCCATTTTGAACAAGTTATCTAACTGAAAGAATGTCATGTTTTCATTTCAAGTGAGATTACGCAGCAGCCATTGTTAAGATGTTTTATTGACAACTCTCCAGTATTCACCACAAATATATTTGCACACAATTACAACAGCTTAGTTTTTTTCAATAGTGTTTTTTATTGGCAGTGGAAAATGCTTCAGAACTTTACTGAAAGAAAGCAATAAATAATACTGTGGTAAAAAGAGTTCAAAAGTACTTAAGCTGTACATACTTCGTTACATAATCAGAAGTTCACAAAAAAGATTAGAAAAAACATAAAACAGTAACAATGAATTTCCAATTGTACAATTAAACTAAAGAGAAGAAACCAAACAAGAAGAAAAAAAAAAGAAACTAAAGAGAAGAAACCAAACAAGAAAAAAAAAAGAGACATGCTATATATATTGTTGTATAATAAATAATGCACCATGATCTGAACAGATTTCTTACTGGCTTTTAATGTGCCATTCTGTGATACATTTTCTATTTATAAAGTCTGAAATAGCTACAACCAGATTTTTAAAAAATTGACGGATAACTTTTTAGAACAAGTTTACAAATGAATGCAAAAGATGACTTACATAGGAAATAAGGCCTTTATTAAAAGTTGCGCTACTTTATTCTTCAGCATACTGTGCCTTTATCTTTTATACTAGATTGCAGTGCTTCATGATTGGTCCGCTAAGAAAAGTTGCATCAGTGCCTTTCCACAAATGTTTTTAATCAAAAGGATATGGGAGAAAAGCACTTTTGTGGCCTGTGGATTACTATCAGGAGCTATTATGAAGTCTTTCTTCCTTGGCTGAGAGAAAACATCTCAGTTTATGGCTTATGTTTAGTCATTAAAGAGACATGCTATGCAAATACTATGTTTAGTCATTAAAGAGACATGCTATACAAATACAGTGGATTGGAAGTTCTGAAGGAGTTAACCAATTCCAAAACATGTTCCATAGTGTTAAAAATGTTCCCCCATTTTAAAAAATGTATTACAGCATTAAATGAAGACAATTCACACTTGACAATTTTGTGTGTGAAAAGATACAATTATCAACAGAAATAAAAATAATCTATTAGACCTGCTTACTAAACCAATTATTTGAATGCTTCTGCCAAAAAGGGCTGGTTTATTTTTATTTTTTTTTAGAACTAGCTAATATATTCAAAAGACAAAATATATACTGCTTGGTTTCATGATACTTTTACAAAGACAGTAAAATCCTTTTCACCTTCAGTTTCATTATTAAAAACCCATTGATAATTACAATAACTGCATAATTTACAAAAGCCCTATATTGCTCATAGGGACATATACTTACAAGCATTACAGTACATTCAGTTGGAAAGATTAACAAATGAAGGATAAAAATCAGCAAAGATCTGATTTATAGACTGAATACAGATGGAAAAGGTAAGTAACTATATAAATGAAAAGTCTCATAGGTTTACTTAAATATAAGAAACATTTAATTCTAAAATATTTTCTCTATGGTACTCATGAATTTATTTGCTAATTAAAAACTCTGTAATAAAATCTCAAAGTGTCCATTTAACAAGTATTAACAAAATTAACGGTTCCACTGATTTCTACAATACGATCTTTGAGTTCAAAATGCTGCATATCACCGGTAGAAATAGTGTGGGTAAACTGCAAAATAAAAAAGACATCTGTTAATCATTTGTTAAGATTTTTAAAAAAAGCAAACATACATTACATTTCAAGGGTAGAACTTACACAATTCATTGTTGTAGTATTTATTACTACATTACTACCATTTCATGAAGTATACAGTTCTATTGGGTTCCTATGTATATTTCAGTTGCAATGTGAGGCATGAGGCCAGAGGTCAAATTCCTTCAATTCCAAAACGGATTAACTTTGTTTTTCCTGGATGTTCTTACTGTGTAAAATACATATTTTAAAAACCCAACCATGTTAAGGCAATTAGAGTTAAGAGCTTTAACATACACAAATTGTTTTTCTATCTATACTATTTTACAGGGATCAGTCCAAATTTAAAATTTCCCTTTACCTGCAAGAGCTTCCCCTCTCAGCATTTTATACTACAAAGCTCTTTTACTATGCTTTTACACACTAACTACACACTTGGAACCCCCAACTATACTGGGAAATTAACCTATTGCTATCAAAACTTATCTGCAGCAAGTTTCCTGGAGCCAACACTGAAAGTAATTTAACTGCAAATATCTATTTTAGAGATTGGTGCATCTGTTTGTGAGTCTGTGTGTCAGAGTCCATTTGTTCAAGAACTCCTAAACAGTAAAAAGTAGAACCACCATATCTGGTATGCTGATTCTTACCCTAACTTAAATCAAGGTCAGGGTTTGCTTGTACCAAGAAAACAAGAAATGCTGGGAATGGGACTGTTTTCCATAAAGTGTAAAGGAAGGGGCAGAGAAAGGGATGTGATACTGATCGTGGCGACTGAAGGCAGGGGAGAGCTATACAGCACACACATCACTGGGGAGCTGCACCACCAAGAAAATGGCCAGCAGGGCTGGGCCTCTGCCATCTTGCCTGCCACTTGTCTGGGTATGTAGCCCACCTGGCCCTAATGCTCCCCTTCTCACCCTTGGCCATAGCGCAAGAAGGTGGGAGAAGTCATTTGGGCCACAGGGGCTACTTACCCGGACAGGAGGCTGCTAGCAGACTAAAAAATATTTTAAGCACCACTACAAAATAGCAAGCTATTCCACTGCGTCGGAAAGATAGAAAATATGGCAAAATACTGCCTTGGCTTAACCACAAGATCTTGCATGATCTAAAAATAAAAAAAAGGAGTCATATAAAAAATGGAAAGTAGGACAAATTACAAAGAATGAATATAGGCAAACAATACAGGAATGCAGGGGCAAGATTAGAAAGGCAAAGACACAAAATGAGCTCAAACTAGCTACGGGAATAAAGGGAAACAAGAAGATTTTTTTATAAATACATTTGAAGCAAGTGGAAGACCAAGGAAAGGGTAGGCCCACTGGTCAGTGAGGAGGGAAAAACAGTAACAGGAAGCTTGGAAATGGCAGAGATGCTTAATGACTTCTTTGTTTCGGTCTTCACCGAGAAGTCTGAAGGAATGCCTAACACAGTGTATGCTAGTGGGAAGGGGGGAGGTTTAGAAGATAAAATTAAAAAAGAACAAGTTAAAAATCACCTAGAAAAGTTATATGCCTGCAAGTCACCAGGACCTGATGAAATGCATCCTAGAATACTCAAGGAGCTGATAGAGGAGGTATCTGAGCCTCTAGCTATCATCTTTGGAAAATCCTGGGAGACAGAAGAGATTCCAGAAGACTGGAAAAGGGCAAATATAGTGCCCATTTATAAAAAGGGAAATAAGAACAACCCAGGAAACTACAGACCAGTTAGTTTAACTTCTGTGCCAGGGAAGATAATGGCGCAAGTAATTAAGGAAATCATCTGTAAACACTTGGAAAGTGGCAAGGTGACAGGGAATAGCCAGCATGAATTTGTAAAGAATAAATCATGTCAAACCAATCTGATAGCTTTCTTTGATAGGATAAAAGTAATTAAGGAAATCATCTGTAAACACTTGGAAAGTGGCAAGGTGACAGGGAATAGCCAGCATGAATTTGTAAAGAATAAATCATGTCAAACCAATCTGATAGCTTTCTTTGATAGGATAACGAGTCTTGTGGATAAGGGAGAAGCGGTGGATGTGTATACCTAGACTTTAGTAAGGCATTTGATATGGTCTTGCATGATATTCTTATCAATAAACTATGCAAATGCAACTTAGATGGGTGCATTACTGGCTGGATAACCGTACTCAGAGAGTAGTTATTAATGGTTCACAATCCTGCTGGAAAGGTATAACTAGTGGGGTTCTGCAGGGGTCTGTTTTAGGACCGGCTCTGTTCAATATCTTCATCAATGATTTAGATATTGGCATAGAAAGTATGCTTATTACATTTGCAGATGATACCAAGCTGGGGGGAGTTGTGACTGCTCTGGAGGATAGGATCATAATTCAAAATGATCTGGACAAATTGGAGAAATGGTCTGAGGTAAACATGATGAAGTTTA